GCCCAGACGGCCGCTCCCCCCGGGAGTGGGCGGGGCTCCAGGAGGGAGGAGGGTGTTGGGGACCCGCCCGAGATGGGATTCTCGGGGGCCGGAAATGGCCGAAGCAGGTGTGGGCGCCTGTTTGCTGAACCCGGGCTTGGGATCCGGAGTTGCCGACCCTGAGGCCAAGGAAGCGGGGAGTCTGCACCCCTGGACCTTGACGCCCCCGGGCAAGACGCTTCCCCTCTCCGGGCGCCGGGCCCCTCGCCTCTGACATTAAAGCTGTTTCTGTTGGGCCAAGTCCTTTGCAGCTCTGGCGCTGAGATCAGTTGACATGTTCCCACAACTAGCAGAATAGTCATGAGTAGGGGGGCCTTCAAGCAGCCCCCCTCAAAAACACCTCGTCGCCACTCCCATCCCTTCCCCTTCCTCCCCGCAGAGAAGAGGAGGCGAGAGGCCATCTCTGCAGCGACCTGCCTGACAGAAGCTCTGGTGGACCACCTCAATGTGGGGTATGAACGCTCCCACCCACACCAGCTGCCCGCCCCGCGTGTAGGCGCAGGCAAGACCGAGGGCAGCCGCTCTTGAAGGGAGGGATGTGCTGCTCATCCTTCCCTCCCCCACCCAGCTTACGGTCAGGAGAGAGGCTGAGTCAGCCCTGACCCTCCTCACAGTGACCTCCCTAGTGCCCACCACCTGATGCCCTCCACCCACCTCCTCGCACCCCTCAGGCCAGCTGTCGCTTTGGTGGGAGGGCGGTGCCCGCCTTCACCATGGCTGACTGCCGTCTCCACCTCACACCCTCTGGCAGGCCCGGGGAGCAGCTGGCAGGAAAGAGACGGCACAGCTGGTGAGGGTGAGGGTGAGGGTGAGAGCAGGACCCCTGCCAGGCGCTCCAGCAGAGCCCGGCTGTCTCTGCCCTTCCTTCTGGGCCTCGCGGGCGGGGGCTTTTTTGGAAAGTCTGTCCCAGTGCCACCGGGCTCCAGGGACTACCCTCTGCTCCAGTCCTAAGTGGAAAAAACTTGGGAAGGAGCAACGAATATTCTCTTGACCGGGAGTGACCCCAGTGGGTACAGAGATGATGGTTGTCGGCCGTTTATTGGAAGAAAGGAGGCAGTTATGATGCCTTCCACCCCAGGGCAAATAGTTGTGAATCCAGAGACTGAGTCACCCAAGTGAGCCAGGCAGGGGCTGCCATCTTCATGACTCATTTCTGGGGGAGATCAGGGCAAGAAAGGCTGTGGTCAGGGCCTCTGACCGCCCTGCCCTCCAGGCCCCTCCCTCCATTCGGTTGAATAGTGGAGAGCAGGAGATCAACAGGAAAAACAGATTTTAGAAACTCCCAGAGGAATCTGGAAGCATGGGAGCCCCCTACTCTTACTGTTTCAGCTCCTACACTGCCCCCTACTGTGGCCACCTGTCCCCAGGGACAGGGCCTTACCCCACACGCATACACTGGCGCCTCCTGGCTCTGCTGTGACGTTGGCCCGGGCTTCTTCCTCTCTTCTGACTTCGCTAGGGGCCGCCCCACTTCCAGTTGAGAGGGCAGCTAAGCCAGAGCCAGATTAGAAAGGGTTTTGTGCTGCTGCCCACGGCTCCTCTCATTCCCCGGGAAGGAACACAAAGGCCCCATCTATCTCGGCCCCTGTCAGGTGTCCTTCCCACTCTCTCCACACCCCCAACCCCTTGCCCTCTCCAGCCCCCACAGATTCCTGTGGGAGGGGGCACCGGATGTGGAGTCTCTCAGCTGACCTAGAGCTTCGGGGTGGGTAGTGGAAGATTCACCAGCCAGTAAGGGAGAACAGTGATTGCGCAATTATTCTAGGAGGGGCGGGGGGAGGGGCGGGTGGAGGCGGGCAGAGAATTGAGGATACCAACCTCATGGCAGTAATGGTAATGGCAGCCAGCACCTTGATTGAGGAGAAAAGCAAATAGAGCAGAGCGGAAGGAAGGGAGAACGTGTGCATGTGTGTTATGCAATTACTCTAGGAGGGTCAGGGGGGGGTGGAGGCGGGCAGAGAATTGAGGATACCAACCTCATGGCAGTAATGGTAATGGCAGCCAGCACCTTGATTGAGGAGAAAAGCAAATAGAGCAGAGCGGAAGGAAGGGAGAACGTGTGCATGTGTGTTCACTTGTGTGGGCGGGAGGAGAAGGGTTGGGAGAGAGACTGAGCCAAGAAGCAGTCCCTGGGAGATCTTCTCTTGACCCTGAGTTCCTGGGGAGGGGGTTGCTCTCCCATCCGACCCCAGGTTCAGGGAGCGGCCAAAGTTTCCTTCCCAACTTTTTGCACAGATCCCTGGGCTTCCAGTGGCTGCCAGATGTGTCCCTGCTAGTGGATTTTCCCAGCTTCCCCCATCCCCTCTTTTTTCTTCCCAGCTCTTTACTCAGGGATATCCCCCTACCAGGCTAGCCCTTGCTTCCCCCACGCAGCTTCAGGAACTCTTTTCGGGGTAGGAGATGGTGTGTTTCTACACAGCTCCCAGCGAGGGTCTCCTGAGAATCCTGGGAGTGGGAGGAGGAAGCTGGGTTCATTTGCATGTACTAGTCTTGTTGCATCACTTCCCAGTATGGTCAGTCACGAGGTTGTCCCCTGCCTGACCCCTGGCTGGCCTCCCACTCTTGCAGTGGGTGTTAGTCCTGGAGACCACTCTCACCAGTTGGGTGGGTCGATGTCCTCTCTTCTCCAACCTCTAGTGTGGCCCAGGCCTACATGAACCAGAGAAAGCTGGACCATGAGGTGAAGACCCTACAGGTCCAGGCTGCCCAGTTTGCCAAGCAGACAGGCCAATGGATCGGGATGGTGGAAAACTTCAACCAGGCACTCAAGGTGGGCCACACTCCCGACATCAACATCGCATCCTGGGCGCCCACTGGCTGCCTCCAGTAGGGTTACCTCAGACCTGGGGCTAACGAAGAGGTGGGATGGCCCCAGAAACCCCATCTCTGGCCCCAAAAACCCCATCTATGGCCCCTGTGTCAGAGAAGCTAGAGAAAGGTAAAGGGAGCTGGTGGGTCCAAGCAAAGCCCTTTGTAGGGGTGGGTGGGAAGTGCCCCCATCCATCCACTAGAGCCACCCTCTACTCACCCTGATTTGAGGACCCCCACCCTCTCCCCTTCCCAGGAAATCGGGGATGTGGAGAACTGGGCTCGGAGCATTGAGATGGACATGCGCACCATTGCCACTGCCCTGGAATATGTCTATAAAGGACAGCTGCAGTCGGCCCCGTCCTAGCCCCTCTCCCCTCCCCCCTACCTCGCTCCTACCCCTCCGCCTCCCCTTGGGGCAGGAGGGAGGCTGGCAGGCCACAAATAAAACACAAGCCTCAGTTTCTCTGTGATACATTTCAAGGAGCTACTAGCTGAGCACCGGGGGTGGGAGGGGAAGGGTCACAGACCCTCAGGGACAGGCACCTGGTGCAGGCGCCAACCGTTGGGCAACCAGAAGTCGGGAGGTTCCCACACCTCTCCAGAGAGGGTCCCAGGAGAGGCCCTGCTGGCAAGCATCCTGACTTAGGACTTCCCTTTCCTGCAGGGAGCAATGAGGCAGGGAGCGGGCCTGGTCCCGCCTCTGGTGCTCTGCCTCTCCACGCGCCCATGGCCTCTCCCAGCCTGGTACTAAGCCGTGTCATGAGTCTGGGCCTTGTGGGAGATTAACTTTTGGGTATGGGAGCACTTTGGAGGAGAAATGACAGGTCCGAGGTCACCAGCAGGCAGGGGCAGCTGTCATACTTGATAGATCCTGCTCCTGGGAGCCTACGATAGAGGTGGTCAGGAACCCCGGCTGGAAAAGGTAGCCAGGAAGGGGGTCTGGGCACTCCGGGCCCGTGCCAAGCCGTGGCTGACCGGCTTCCACTTCCCTGACTCCGCCTCTCAGTCTCCCCCCCCACACACACACACACACACATATACTTAATACCTCTGGCACCCAGTCCACCGGCGTCGACTTTGGCCTCAGCTGTAGCTCGTGCGGGAGCCGGGAGGACTGGGAGCAAAGGAAGAAGCGTCTGGTGCAGCACCTGCCAGCTTTCCCCAGAGGAGGTGAGCAGGGCGGGAGCCGGGGTGCTGGGAGGATGTGCCAGGCATCGCATTGCTGATAACACACACTTCTCCCTTCTGATCCTGCACAACTCCCCAGTGGGCCTGTGGGTGCTGGTCCCACCCGGCAGGTGAGAAAACAGGTCCAGAGACGCAGTGAGACGCTCAGCATCACACAGGAAGTTAGGGGCCACCGGGACTGAAGTGCCCCGTGTGTGTTTCCTAAAACAAGGCCCGGCTTAATTTAGAGAGTTCAGGTGTCC